TATTGCCAAGAATCTTGTCTGTATCAATACTAGAAATTTAACTGGGCCAGCGACATAAGTGCTGTGTCTTTAAGAGTAGGTCAGACTGCCGGAGGTAATATACCTTCTGACTACCCTCACCACACCCCCCAAACTCCATCCCTCCTAAGCATTTCTAACACTTACAAGGCGCAAATCAGGAGCGTGACGGTATATTCTCCACTTGCCTAGATGTGTGCAGCTCGAATAATACTTGAGAAGCTTGTTGCCATCTAAGTCAATACTGCCCACTTGACCACCATGCAATTTATTATCTTAAGCATTAACTTGTTCCAACACTGGCACATTGCAGCTTGCAACCTAGCAAGTCACAAAGGTTTCTTCGAAAGCACCTTCAAAGCCAATAATCTCTGCCAGTGAGAGGGACAAGACAAGCTAGCACAACAAACACCACCACCTGCAATTTCCACACCTTACCCACCCCACATCATCCATCATCCTAACTTGGAAATATATCACTGTTCCTCAATCATTGCTGGGTGCAAACTGGAACTACCTCCTTAAAACAATGATTTATGCATCTACATCATAAGTACTGCAGCAGTTCAAGGAGGCATTTCACCACCACCTTCGCAAGGTCACTTAAAGATTCGCAATAAATGCTGGCTTTGCCAGTGATGCCCACATTGCATGAATGAATAAGTAATATAATTGCTTTGGATTCAAGAATGACGCCTTCAAAATTCAACAAAATGACACATTTATATTAAATATTCGTTCATTATTTCGTGGTTTGTCATCTGAAAATATAGTTAATGACAACTGTAAAGCAAAAGAAAGGTAAAGCAGTAATAAAAGCAAGGTGACTGAGTTGACAATGACGAGGGTGACACTAATTTGCAGCCTTTTGCAAATCAATCTTTTCTCACTGGAATACCTAAGCACAAATTTACACTATTTCTGTTTTATCGTTTCTGATCTTTTTTTCTGTCTAGGAAAGAACCACCTGAGTACCAAATAGCTCCTTGCTCCGAATAATCCAACCCTTTCATCATATTTGTTAAATCAATTTTCTGTCCAGCCAACAACTTTGTAAACAGCTGTAATTAAAGATAATTTATATATAAAAGCTCAATAATTGTAGTCAAGAATCTATGCTTCCATTCATACATATAATAATAACAGCCAGGTGAGAAGCGATTGGCCAGAACAGGTGATTTCCAAAGAATTTTCTTGTCGATCTCGTGATTGCTTAACTGTCTAAATGTTGTTTCTCTGAGAAACTCACAGATTTTCTAGTAAGTTTTAAGAGAAAGGAAATAGTCTTTATTGTGCTTAATGCTGAACAGATGAAAACAAATATTAAAAACATACCAATTAGCACTGACATATGTACCCAAGAGTTTCATACAAACACAGGAGTGCAAACAGGGAGAAAAAAACCCCTGGCACTGTGAGCCACGATGCTGCCCATGTAATGTGTGGACTTTTTTAAACCTGTTCTTCTGTTCTACCTGCTCAGAGATGTTATTACACACCTCTGGAGCAGGTGGGACTTGAACCCAAGTCTCTCAGTCCAGGGTCACTACCGTTACGCCACAAGAGGGCCATTATTGACCTGGGGTGGACAGCCTGTTCACTTGAGATTGATTTTCTAAAGTGATAAGATTAAATTGAAGATAGAGCCCCCTCTCAGCTAGAGTTGATTGCTCAAAATGAGGAGTTTAACTTTATGATAGTCATTTTTAGATGTCAGTGTCATGGAGCTAGGAATTCTGCCTTCTTTGTGAACCCACCTGGGAACAAATATTTGGGTCTACATTTTCTTCAAGTAAATTGCATTTTTTTAAAAAAAATGTCATATTTTAGTTTCCTGCTATCACAGCGAAAATTTACTTCAAGTTTGAACTGTGTAAATTAACATCGGGTAAGATGTAAAACAGATGGTCACAAATTTCACACCATCACACACTAAATCAAGAACTACCCTGTAACCCTACCTACAGTATCATCCTGGAAAAAATCTTTTAGTTATCAAAGAAACATATTAATCTATGATATGTAATTTACATTCAAATTTTAAATACATTATTTTATTAAAGAGAATCCAGTCAGACTCATATACTTATTGTTCAATTGAAAATTTGTCATAAATCCCCACTATCGGGCAGGAATTTAATGTATAATTGCTTAAAAAAATGTTTTTAAAGGATTCTTATTATATTTAAGAATGGTAATTTGGTTGTTTTGTTTAACACCTGAAATGGACTTTTCACAAAAAATGTTAAGCACTTTAAATCAGTGTTCAAAGCTTTGAGTAATCCAATTTTAAATTATGGAATATATATATATAGAACTGTTACCATTTATATTGGGATACAGGAGTCATTCTTTGAGAAGGATCTCCTAGATGACAAGAGATGGGGTACAATATCAAAATTGCCAATGAAAGGGAACCTCAGCAACTTCAACAACTGGAGGGACATCACACCGCTGTCAGTACATGGCAAGTTCTTCATCATGTTTCTCCTCAATAGATTGAAAGCAGAAGTAGATGGTAACCTTTGTGAAGGTTACTGAGGTGACAGATCGTGCTGATAGCAGATCTTTAAGTTAATGGCATGGTAGAGAAGAGTTTAGCATATCAGAAGCTGCATTTAATCAAGATCAATGATTGCAAGAAGGCTTTTGGTTGCATCCCTCAGCACTGACTGTAGTACATCACAAGATAGTATGGATTGCTGGAAGGGGATAAGTACAAATTCAAAGCCTCCAGCTGTTGAGTAAAATTAATATGGGATCCATGAACTCATTCACTATCATCATGGGAGTACAGCTAGTCTGCATTCCTTCCCTATTCATTTTCCTTCTGGTCATTGATTTTATCATGAGTAAGGTGAGGGTGGTTGCAGACTCAGTATCCTGTGGCAACAGAAACAAGTTGACATTCCCAAATTTTGCTGATGACATTGCCTTGCTGCTCAAAGAATCACGCACACTCCAAGATATGATCACCATGACTGAGCTCAGGAGTTTCAAGGTCAGCCACACATCAGTTGTGGAAAAAATCAAGACAATGATGACTGAATGAAAATAATGCACCAACCCTTTCACAACCAGGTGACAGAGCTTCAAGGACATCAATCACTTCCCCAGCTAACATCTTCAGGGAGGATAGTTTAGAGATCAAGTTCCACACAAGAATCATCAAAGCAGCATTCGTCTTTCAGCAACTCTACATGGCTTAGGCATCCAACAACTCTAACATGACCATGTAGTTGAGATCCTACATGTCCAATGTGGTATCAGTTAAAATCCAAGCCAGTGAGACATGGAAGAGAACAGCAAAGGTGTCATGTAAGTTAGCTGTCTACCACCAGCGAGGACTATGGAAAGTCATGGGTACTACTTGGAGGAACAAAATCAGCAACGAGAAAAGTGCGACCCAGTATTGTTCAGAGGTGCCTATAGGGAGATGACTGAGGCTGACAGGACCTCAATTTTGTTTCTCAGGTATATGCCATGCCAGAGTGATAGTCAAATGAATGTTATCAGATGGGGAAAAAAAACAAGGCCAGTCAAAGAAGACCTGTCACAGTACAGTTAGATCTTCAAGAGTGGGGTCAACTTTAACTGCAGTATTAGAGATTGCAATAGACGAAGGGTGGTAGCAGATTCTTGATGACCATTGTCTCATTGGAACTAAGCTTAAGTAATTTACTAAAGCATTGGTAAATTAATAAATATTGAATGATTACAAAGGTCTTAGCACCAAAAAGGTCCAACATAAGACCCTGCCTTCAGTCGAATGCTGAATGAAATTAATTAATTTTGAGGAACAAGGAATATGCTATAGGTAGGGCTGACATCTCGAGCAATGTTTTTAAAATTAGCATGGAAGATGGCAATAGCTTGAACTGTACTGACTATAATTTGTGCTTAAAAGTCATCAATGTTTTCTAGCAGTTGTGTCGATTTTGGATACATTAAGTCGAAAATACCAATGGAAAGTCCAAGCTTTGGATGGTTAGAGTTCTAAAAGTACACTTTATCTGTTGGTGAGAGGAATTCATCATTTATTTTGTCATTTTCTCATTTTACTTAATTGCAAATCATCTGACATTTCATCTGCCAATTTGTTGGTTTTCCTTTAATAGCTCATTATGTTTGAGAGGAAATGTTTTCATGGATTATTACTGGTGTGTACTATTAGAAGGTTCCAGGTAGAGATATTAGCTGCAGTACATCAAATAATGACTAAATATTTGCTAGATATGTTGCTTAGATAAAAATTGACTGCTGACCAAATAATCTGAGAAAATTGCTCCCACCTGGAACTTATATCACCTTCCACTTGTATAATAAATTAAGAGGAAAAGTTTCCATGCAACATTAACCACCTATGAGAGAGAAAGCAAAGAGGTTAAGCTAATACCAAATGATCTGGAATTAGATAATGACTAAACCTGCAAAATGGAAAAATTAAGCAAAATGTTTAAATCTTGATTGAATAGCTAAGCAAGCATTGCTAATAATGAGGAAAATAAAAAAAGTGCTTCCATATTTTCCTTGTTTTTTTTAAACTGGTAGAATAGATGCTCATTGCAGAACCTATCCATATGGACCACTTTGATACAAGACCAAAAATTGGACTCCTGTTTTACTTTTATGATGACCAACAATATAGAGATGTGTAACAAAGCTCTCCATTGTATGTTCTTGGCATCACCAGGAGCTATTATCTAGATGCAATGCTTACAACACACAATGTTGTTAGCTATATAATATTTCTCATTGCCATTCACTTCAGTCATGCCAAAATAATCATAGAAAATCAATAAGTACCAAAATCCCAAATGTTTGTGATGCTTAGGATCAATTTGAACATGGATTATCCATTCTTAATTCTGGGTAACGTTGTACCTGTCATATTCTGAGCAATGAACTGAAGACAGTGGTGGGTGAAGTAGATTGTTAAAATTTATAGTTGTTTTAACACATTGTTTTCTGCTTTCTTGAAGGCTCAGAAGAAAAGAGCAACTCATTGGTGCCTTGACTAAGTGGCCATTCTTCATGCTTGAGTTGAGACAGAGGCTGGCATTTAACTTCTGGCAAGTTCGTCAAAACACGTGTTAAAACATACCACCCAAAGCAGACACAGAGCTCCAATTAAATAGAAAACTCTTACCGTTGCAGATCCAGGAGCAATAGAACTGTTTCACTGTGCTCCACAAGTTAGGTTTAGACCACTAACATTATGGAATTTTTCCTCCTTCCAACCCAGGAATCCCTCTCATACACAACATCAGTGGCAACCCAGTCTTTTCAGACCAACAATTCCTCTTCAAGTCCATTAACTACCAAGACATTAAAGAAGTCTGGCCTTTGAACTAGAAAATGCCTCCTAGCTCAACTATCAGATGGAAGGTCCATCCGCTTTCTCCTAAATCTCACCAATCTTGCAAGTTTTATTGATCTGGTTGTTTGAAGAGGATATCACACACAGGTTGAACTAATCCCTGTGTGGCAATCATGCGTGTCCATTTTATAGCAAAGGTCACTGCACACCAATACAGGAAGCAGCTCACATTGAAATGCATAAGGCTCATTTGAAGCTCTCCATGCAATGGCATTTCAATTATGGGTGTAATCATTTAAATGATAGTTCAGATTGAACCAAAAGACTTTCATTCTCTGTTTAGTTCAGTCTTATACTGCCGATGCATGTACATAATGAATTTAAATCGATAGTTCTAAAGTTTTTAAGTAAAGCAATATTCTCTTTATAACGAGCATTTTTTTTTTAACTTTGGAGAGGTTCTCAAATGGTCAACTGTATTGGTCAAAAGTATTCCTGAGACGTGGGAATGGGCAACTTTGACTCATGGTAGTATGGGTGTCATTTGATAAATTATTTTTTTCTCGGAAAACCTTTACTTTCATTGGCATTTGTCTCTCCTTCATTGTGAATGATTCATTATGAATGTAGTGATGGGCATCAAACCAAGTATTCCAATGGATTCATAATCTGTGGCCATGATTAGTCCATTATTGTATTGCAGTTTGTTTCAAGAAGCTGGTGCTGAACCAAGTAAAAAAAAAATAAAATCTGCAATTAGCTAATGGTTTATAAGACTGTTATCATTTGTTATCTTGGGATGCTGGCAGTACCCTGTTCAATCGATGCCATAAAAGTATGATCATCCATTAGCCAGTCACAGAAATGTAGATTTATTTTTTCTATTGTGTTTTATGTCATTGTTGACCAAAGATGTATTCTATCCAGGTATGGTCTAGTGAGAAACATTGATTTTAAGTTATCAATTTAGTAAAGCTTGTCATGGAGCCATAATTTTTATTGAATGAAACTGTTCATTAAGCTAAGCTTGGTATGGAGGTTTCACTGTCAGGAGAAAAATAACAAGTAGATTTTAACTTTCATACTGCATGGGAAACATAGGCCTGTACACTTTCTGAAACATGTAACAGTGGTAACAGGCATAACAGATTAACAACTCATTTTAAAACATTTATGACTATTGTTATGATTTATATTTTAAGGAAGATGAATTGCAAGATTTTTATATTATAATAGAATATTTGCAACATAGAAGGAAGACATTCTGCTCATCAAGCCTATTGCCAAGTCTCTGTGAGAGCAACTTAGTTAGACCCATTCTCTGCCCCTTTGCTGTGAGCCAGCATTTTTTCCTCTTTTGTTGCTCATCCAATCACTTTTTGAAGCTCTCCATGTGATGGCATCCAATCACCAGGACCCACCCCATCCCTGTGGCCTTGCATTTCCAATGGCTAGCCTGCACAACCCTAGACACTATGGGCAATTTACCATGGTCAATCCAATTAACCTACACATCCTTGGACTTTGGGAAACGCCCAGAGGAAACCCACGCAGACACAGAGAGAATGTGCAAACCCCACACAGACAGTTGTCCAAGTTTGGAATTGAAACCAGGTCACTTGCGTTGTGAGGTAGCAGTGCTAACCACTGAGTTACTGTTCTCGCCCACATGCCACAGCACAGAACTGCAAATTTACTTCTGTAAAAGATATTTGTGGGAATAAAAATATGCTTTACAAGAATCATTGATAGTTTCACTATTACTGAGAGTCACTTTCAATTCCAGGGTTTATTAGTAAATTTTAAATTCAACCACCATGGCGGGAATATTAAATGTGTCTACTGCGCATTAACCACAGCCTCTGACTACCTTAACACGATCTTTCCATCTGTGTCCTCCACAAGTTATGTCAACATTAATATAACACTCCCAGGGAAATCTAGGTTTTAACTTTCAGTCTTTTTCTTTCACATTAAAGAGTTATGGACATATTTTGTAAAAAATCAATGATGCCGATCTTTTCTGAAGTGGGAGCTCTAATCAGATGTTGTCAGGAAACTGGGAAGCCTGTGTATGTCCAAATATCATGGGATTTTAACTAGAGTGTGTGTGCCTTTAATACAACAGGATCCCTTGACGGAGAAGCCAGCCTAGTTGATAGATTTAGCTCCCGGTTAGCTAAGAAACATTGTAGCAAAGATTTCATCTCTGGAGCTGGCAGATTCCCTGCTGCTTGGGAAGGGATCACAAGGGGACTAGGTGGATACAGTGGCTTGGATATTCCAATGGCCAGATAATTGTTTCTGAAGCATAGGTGGAAATTGCACCAGGAACCCTGTGGAATCCCCATTGTAGCAGACTCTGAAGGGTATACCTGGGAAATTGAGCATTCCACTACATTTAGAACCCTCCAGAAATATCATTTAAACCGTAGAATTTGATGGTTCTATAAATTAAGTAAATAGTTACTCAAAAAAAACTATTAAATATCTAGTGTACCTTCTGAGTAACTATTAAACTGAACACTACAATTTACCTCACATACCCTGAACTGTACCTACTCTGCACCCCTTACACCCCTAACACCCTGACCCAACAATCCTTCTCACGCTGCAAACTGAACATCCTTCCCCCATCCCAACTACTGGGCACAACATTACCTTTCTATGCCCAAGACCAAACAACCTCCCTGGCAGCTGACCTCCATTCCCCCACTTCAGACATGACCCCCAATTCCCCTTTTCGTACTTGCTCCCCCTCCCTTTCCCCACTCTGAATCGGGCCCACACTTTTCCATTTCATACTCGAGTTGTCTCCCTGTACTTGGGATCCGAATACCCCTTCCCCAACTCTGGACGTATCTACTCCTTCTTCCCACTGTGGGCCTGTATTCTGGCCCCTGCACTGGACCCAACCTCCCATTTCCCTGTCCCATTGCAGACCAACATTATAAGAAGTTCCTGTGTAAAAGCAAGTTGAAAATGGAATCCAAATACATACTTTGTTTATGTATTTAACACTGTACATCACAGTATCCATTCTATGCCCCATAACACTTCTGAAAATAGAAGCAATTATTTCATTAAAAAAATCCACCTTCCAAAATTATAAGAATATACATTTTCATCTGTGGATAAAAAAGGTTCAAAAATGTTAGAGACCCATAAAATGAACAGGGTAGACCAAGGCAACATTAATTATATTCTTTCAGACTTTATTTGAAACCAGCAAGCAGTAGTGAAATACGGGCAGTATTAATGTGACATCTTTTATTGGGCTAACATTTTTATGGCATACCTAATGCTTTCAGTAAAATCTATTATTTATGATAAAATGGCTATCTAGACAGAATGTTCAAGATTTAAGCCCATGGGTTTAATAACCAACAGACAATATCTCAGATTGTCTCACTGAAGTAAAAGAACATTAGTGTTTGTCATATTAAAATGTGCGTTAGTGTTATAGCCACTGATGTATAATTTCCTTAAAACAAAATCTCAGTTCCATCCAATGCACTGAAAGAGTTCTCCATCCTTACTTTATTCATATATATCGCACTAAGGCAACTTTCTTAGCAAATAATTTTAGAATTAGCAATGTGTAACATTCACATTTAAGTATCCATTCAAATTTAAATTTTCACAGTATATGGTTGCATCATAATTTACTGCTTGAGAATCTTTCTGACGTTTGACAGTGCCATGGAGAGAAGTATTTTCCTGGTGGTATCAACCCTTACCTTCTTGGATCTGCTGACAGTATTGGTCTTAGCTGGGACTCAAAGCTTACTCTGAAATATTCACCAGTCTGCCTCAGAAACAGGCTGAGAGCTTCATCGGCGAGAAAAAATCAGACTTAACGTTTCGGGTCCAGTGACCCTTCCTCAGAAC